GAGTTCAAAGGCCTCCATTCTTTGGTGCTCAGCCTTCCTTAGAGTCCAACCTTCACAGCCATCCGTTGCAACTGGGAAAACCATAGCCTTGACTAGATGCCCTTGTGTTGGCAGGGGGATGTCTCTGCTTTTTAGGATGCTGTCTAGATTAGACATCGCTTTCCTCCCCAGGAGAAAGCCTCTTTTAATTTCTTGGCTGCCGTCCCCATCTGCGGTGATCTTTACTGGGAACATAATCGACATTTTTATTTTGAAAAAAACAAAACTATGACTCACTTAAGAGCCACCTTGCCAAACAAGGGAAACTCTGACCATGGGTATGAAAAATGGTCATCAGTTGCTTTTTTCAATGCCATTGTAACTTCGGTCACTATGTGTACTGTTTTAAGTTGAGGACTGCCTGTATGCCTGCTTTGTAAATCACTTGGTTTGGGTTTTTTTTAGCCTAGTTTGCCTAATAAAATTTCCAAGTCTTGACATGTCATTTTCTGGGAGTATGTACATTCAGAAAGGAATTCTTTTTTTTTATTATTTCTTTTTTTAAACCCGTCTTCCACTAGTTTATCCAACTGTACTTCTTTGTCTCCTGGGGAAAAAAAAAATCTGACATTTAAAACAGAGAGAGAATTCCAAGTGGTGGGGAAGATACCCGTCTCCCGATTGCTGATATTTCACCTATTTGAGCGTGGACTGTTTTTGGATGCGGACTCGAAAATATGTAAAGAGGAAAAATGATATCCATTTTTTAAATAAAAAAAAAAGATTTGACTAATGTTGCGCAGATACAAATCATTTATTTTTACTACCTATAAACCGTTCCAGCCCAGGAAAGGAAAAGCTATGCTAATTTATATAGCGTTGACATTTTATAATTTTCATGATTTTTTTTTTTAGATAAAAGATTTTATATTTAAAACTTTAATAGTCTAGTCTGAGTTCATTTATCTTTAATTTTTGAAAGGGGGAGAGTAATTCATAACAGTAATTTTATTCTTGTAATGTAATATTCACTTCAGTTCATTTGTGCATTAAAATTCCTTTAAGACCGTTATTAATGATTTATATAATGAAATGTCATATTAATCACAGAAGTTTTCACATTTTATTATTCTCTTCCATGTTAATACTATCTTTATGATCTCTATTAATGTTTTATATCCTCTAATTTCAATTATAAATCAAGAACATTTCCATGTTTTTGTTGGTATTTGCTTTTCAGAAGTGCCACCTTAAAAATTTTATTGCCCGCACACCCCACCCATAGATGTTGCAGCATAAAACATCTTTATTCATAGAAAGGTAGTTAATTATGTCTTTTGTTCGTAGCAAACTTTCGTTGACAAACTTAAACATCATAATATATATTTTTTCTTCTTCTCCTTTTTCTAAGCTCAGAGACTGGAGCGGCTCAGAAAAGAGAGGCAGAATCAGATCAAGTGCAAAAACGTGCAGTGGAAAGAGAGAAATGCCACCTGTTCTGGTAAAATACATATATATATATAAATATATTATTTTATTCACCGTTTGTTTCCGGGCCAGTTTCATGCATGAAACCTGGTTAGTCTGTAAATTGTTGCATGATAAAGGAGAACAGTTGTGGAGATGGCTTGGGAAAAAGATGAATAACTAATGCCAGATAAGATTCCTTTAAACCTTTCAGACCTCAGAGACCACTGAATTCATAATTTTAAATCCCCGCAGACCACTAATATGATCTGCCTAATGACCGGTTGGGTGGGTGTGGCAGGAGGGCATGTGACTGGGTAGGCGTGGCCAACTCGATGTCACTCACGTCAAGGGGCGCCTTACCAGCCTCTACTCGCCCCCCCCTCCCAGCCCCTCCTCGCCTGCCTGCCTGGGCTCCTTAGGGCCCCAACAGGAAGCAGTTGCTGGAGCTAAGCAGCCCCCAGGAGAAAAAGTTGGCAAAACATCTCAGCTCAAATTGGATCTGACCGAGAAGGAGGCTCAGCAGAAGCATCTCACTGAGGACTAGGAACATAGGCTTTCCAAGCAGAGGGAAGACCTGTGGGAGTGCAAGGCCAGGTGCCAGCGCTTAGAGGCTCAGCGGGCTGAGATGGTCAG